CGATCGGGGAGACCTATTTTGTATAGTTTGTAGATAAGGCCTGTATGCCAGACTCTATCGAAGGCTTTGGCGATGTCGAAAAAGACCGCGATAGTCTTATGACGACGGGGATAAAAACCGCTGAGGATATATTCCACAATACGGTGAACTTGTTGGGGGCAGGAGTGTTTCGCTCGGAAACCGAATTGATGGGCAATGATAAGAGGGTCACCGTCTGTGGGAAACAGATGGCGCCTCATGCGATTTTGAATGACTCTTTCAAAGAGCTTGCCCATGGCCTTGAGGAGGCTAATGGGACGATGACTGGAGGGGAGATTAAGAGGCTTGCCTGGCTTGGGAATACCAATCACAGTTGCCTCTTTCCACGTAGTGGGAAAGTAACTAAGGTTGAAGCAGGCATTGAAGATAATAGATAAAAGGGTTAGCACCTGCTCAGGAAAGTTTTTTAGGGCTTGGTTGGAGATGCCATCCGCGCCCGGAGCCTTTTTAGGCTTAAGTCCTTTGATGAGGGATGAAAGCTCATCATTGGACACAGAGATAGGTTCGGAGGCTGTAGGGGGCGAGTTCCGGCGGCGGACCTCATCCTCCACTGCCTGGACGTGTGAGGGGTCTACGGGTTGAGAGCTAGGAGAGCATTGAGCGGCAATGCTGTCTGCAAAGCACTCAGCCTTTTCCTCGTCCTCGAAGGCTACCGTACCGTCGGGACGGGAGAGAGGGGGAGTGTGGAAGATAGCGTCTATGCGGAGGGCTCTTGCCATCTGATAGTACGCTGTATGAGAGGGAGAGATATTCTCCATGAGCTTACTCTTTTCGAGGTCTCGAAATTCAGAGAGGCGGAAACGGAGTTCTCGTTGAAGACGATTGGCCGTGCGCCATGTCGAACGACGAAAATCGCCCCTCTTTTATACTACCTCGGCTGGGTCAATAGATACGGTGTAAGTATCGGGCAGACGGCGTCGACCAATCAGCGCGAGGCGCGACAGTGCAAGTGACGATCTTAAGTGACCACCTTGCTGAGTAACGTTTCATTGTTTTTAAATTCTTACATTACATTAAAGCTAATTCTACTATACAAATATAAACACTAAACTATAATGATTATTTCCTTAACATAACATGAAATGCTTATATCTTATTTATATATAACTCCAAACTATAATGTTTATTCAATTAACATAACATGAAATGCTTATATCTTATTTATATATAACTCTAAACTATAATGTTTATTCAATTAACATAACATGAAATGCTTATATCTTATTTATATATAACTCTAAACTATAATGTTTATTCAATTAACATAACATGAAATGCTTATATCTTATTTATATATAACTCTAAACTATAATGTTTATTCCATTAATATAACATAAAATGCGTGTCTTATTTATGTATTGGTCTATCACTATTTTTTTTTTTTTTTACTTGTCCCGCGCTGATGGTGAACGTCTTGGACGGTCGTGTATAAAGATATCCCAAAGAAGCCTCTGAAGTAGTAAATACTAAGACTAGATTCAAATCACCAGGGCATGATAGGCTTAGACTTTTTTGGCATTGAACATCTGGTACATCTGGTACATCTGGTACCTGCTATGAGTGTTGGCTATGTTTCGAAGTTCGTTTATAGCACATCAGTATCTTCCGACTGATCTCATGAAGACCATTGTGGTGCCTATTCTTAAGGATAGATCAAGAGATACATCGAACTTAAATAATTACAGGCCAATCTCACTAGCTACCAAAATAGCTAAGGTGCTGGACAGTCTCCTTGACAGACAATTGTGAAAGCATATTCATCTGCATGATGCACAGTTTGGGTTCAAACCTGGACTACCCACAGAGAGCGCAATTTTATGTCTCAAGCAGACTGTAAGGTACTACACAGATAGGTAGTACCTTACAGCTGTTTTTTAGATCTATCAAAAACTTTCGATCTCGTTTATTATGATATCTTATGGCAAAAATTACAGGAGCGTACTGATTTACCCCAAAAGATTATCACCGTGTTTAAATATTGGTATAGAACCAGTGGTAAAGTAAAAAATGACTTTCAATAAGAATTACGCATGTAATGTATACGATTTTTCCGGACCGATACGATTTAGGGACCTTCAAGAAAAGAGCTTACACCTTTCTAAAAGGCCGGCAACGCACCTGTGATTCCCCTGGTAAAGCGGTTGTTCATGGGCGGCGGTAGTCACTTAGCATCAGGTGAGCTGCATGCTCGTTTGCCCCCTCTTCCCTAAAAAAATATTCCTTCAAATAAATTTAATTAGTGCAAAAACACGAAACAGATTTAGATATAAACAAACATGTAGCCTCTATTTTGCGTATTAAACAAGGCATTGATTAGCATGGCGATTGCATTGCATTCAAACCAACGAAAAATATATAAATATATAAAATTAATAAAAATATAGCATTTAAATGTGTATTTTTACTTTTCTTAGTTTAATACAATTATACAATGTTAAATAAAGATGGCAGTATTTAGGTATTTTTCACTATAAACGTTTGCAGGATTTTAACCAAACTAAGGCAGGATCTGTATTTTAAAGATGGTCACACTGTGAGCAAGCCCACCCATTATTATTCTTGAATAAACACTATTAGAGTATTAGATACGGTTAATTATCCTCTTCGTATTTATTCATTAATATTACTATAATACTAAAATGAAATTATTAATACGACGAGAAATTGGAATATAAAAATAGAAAAGACAGTTTGTTTCAAAAGGTAAGTTGAATTATCAATAATAATAAATAATCAGTATACTATATACAGGTTAATATTTTTTTAAAAACTAATATTCTTTCCAATGGTTTTCAAATATTTTATTGTTAGAACAACTTGCTTGGTCATCAAAACTTTAAAGTAAGCCAAAAATAACTGTAAGCTATGAAGAAAATCGTTTTGGGCCCACTAGAAATTTTAACTTAACTTAATGGTTTTACACATATAAAAGATACCAATTTATTATATTTGTATATAATATATTTATTAGTAAAGAGATACCACTGAAAACTTGTTTTAATAGGATTAAGTAGTACAAGTTTTCAGTGGTATATCTTTCTAAATGTATTTATATTAGCTAATTTAGAAATATAGTTCAAAGTGACCTTGGAACGAAACTTAAAACCCCTATTTTGTCAGTTTGTCATTGCCTACATATTTATTTCTCTATGGTTAGGGGTTTCCACTTTGAAAATACATCGATGATTTTCTTCGATGTAATGCATCGAGACTGTGTATCGACATATTCCGATGTATCGGTTAGAAACATCGATGTTTTTCCTAATCGTGTAATTTTTCAGACTACAAATCTGTAGTCAACCTCCTGACATCCCACTCAAACAAACAACGTAATGTAATGATATAAATGATTGCGTAAACAGGTTTTATAAACGCACAAGATTTTAAATCCGATGCCTTGGCAGAGGGAAATAATCATGCGAGGCGATTCCCTTGGGTTACTTAAATGGTCTAAGAGCGAGATAGCCCAGACGATTTTTTTTTTATTATTTTCTTTAGCAGAGTTATGCCAACCAGCCGACCTCTTGAAAAAAAATTCTTGATTCCGCTTAAGGGACTGACAGCTGCCAACTAGCGCCTCTAATAGGTTTAATATTATAACTTCTAAACTAGAGCATGTTTTAGTTTTACTGATTTAGAAGTTATAATATTAATATTGGTATGTAAGTATCACTGATTCGATGTTTTATGAAAATACATCGATACATCTTATTGTAAACAGCGAGTGAAATGAATTCGATGTATCGATGTATATCGAATAACCTTATCTATGGTAATTGCCTTTCGGGTCCGGGATCCTTTCTTTGTATTATAGATGAAATATATTAATTTTGGAGTTTTGGCGGGAAATTGACCGGCGGCGGTTTGCTGCTCCTGTATTATTGTTTAAATAATGGTTTGAAGTGGACTTTGATATGTAAAAGTGTTGCGATTTTGTGTATTAAGTGTCTACGCATGTGAACTATTAGTGGAAACAGTGAAACAAGTGCTCTGATGGTGATGGATTCTCAAGATAAGCTGTTTGTTTGCATAGGCACCTTTAGATACCATCGCCAACTATCAGCTGTCTGCTGGATCAAATTGCCGCCAAAATCTCCCAAGAACTGCACAATGTGACGCATCAACATATTGTGAAGCAGTATACTATGAAGGAGTGGGGAAATTACAATAAACCGAATAAAAATACTTAAGACTTGGCCTAAAGGTCTAGATACCAGGCCATAAACTCCAAAAAAAAAAAAATTAATTTTGTATTATTATTTATTTACTACTATACGACATTGACGATAGTTTGTGTTTGTGCAGTGTTTGTGGATTTGGATTGTGGCATTCACAGACCAGATAGAGAAACTAACGTTTCAGACCGCCATGTCACGTATATTGTCTTTGAACCGTATGCAAGAATTGAATATGACTTTTTTTGTACTTGTAAATGCTAGTAGCATTAGGTAATGGAACAAGAACCATACAGCCAAATATTATTACAGCAGCGTAGAGAAGTATTTCAAATTAATTTAATATTTTAAAATGCATTGCAGGTATAATAAATAAAACAGCGTTTGTCTACATAATTATTTATTTAAGTTTTTATTTTTCAATTTTCTCTTGTACTTATTTAGAGCTTTTTTTTGCATTGGCAGTAAATTAAATTTTTCGGCCCTCATTACATCAGTACCTTTTAATAATTTATTGATTACAGTGCACCAATTAAAAATGCAGAGTTTAATAGATATTTTCAAAAAATTTTCAAGAACTATATCTTTGTGCAACTCACAATCGAGAAACGAAAATGAATATTTGGAACTTATTTCCTTTTTTATTCTTTCACTAATGTTATTTTGATATCCATGTTGTTCCAAATATTCATTTGTTGTTTTTATTACATTTCCAAAACTTCTTACAACATTTTCGGATGGATAAATTAATTTTCTAGTTTTTTTTGTTTTATATTCTTTTTGTTTAATAAAATCATGAATATTGCTATCTTCCGACAGTAAACTATGTTTGCATTCTTTGCAATTGATTTTACATAAAATTTTTCTGGTTACCCATCCAGCCGTATATGTCCTTGAGTGTACATTAATCCTTTCTCGTCTTGCCTGTTCTTCAAAATTTTCTACAACAAATTCTACAGTTTTACACACAGGTGTGGCATCTGATTTTGAATCAGATGATGGTGCAATATTTACATTCTCAAAAAGGGACTGTATATCTAATACGCCTTGGCTGACATCTTCCTCACAATTGTAACTCTCCGAATGAAAGTTTATAAATCTTGTTACCAATAATGATTTGAATGTATTTATGAAAGTATAAGCAGTAGGGTCATTACTCCGGTAATTGTATGCTCGTACTTGGCCAAAAAAGTTCTCTATTATGTCAGAATTGAAGTATCTAGGTCTCATAATTTTAATGTTTTTCGAGGCCAATAACTCCCACACCCTTTTTAAACTTTTGAGAGTGATGATCCAATTTTTTAAGGAAGGTACACTTTTTAGTGTGCCATCTTTGCAAATAAATTTTATACCTTGCAATATTTTAATGGCTTTGTTCCAAAACTCGTGATGGGCTGATTTAAGTGTTACTACCTTGCGCAGATTTTTTCCTTTCGACATTTTCTCATTTGTGCTCGCTCCATTGACACTATCAAACAAGTCGTCAAAAAACGATACCGCTGCTGCTGTGTTTTTCAATGTTTTACTTATAGGACTTCCATCTGGATATAGAGCTAAAATTAGAAAAAAATACCGATTTAACACACATTATAAATTATACAACATAAACTGAAATATAGGTAGGTAAGCACTTACGAAAAGCAGAAGTATATGATAGTGCTGCCGATACTGACTTGCTCAAAACGCGCACACAATTCTTCACCTAAAATACAAAATTAAGCATGTTGTTATAATAATAAAATAACTCTTAAATGGTATGAGACGTTAAAAATAAGATAGGTAGATCTCTATTTAAAGTCTAAAATAAATATATAATTTCAGGACATTTACCTTCATTTTTTTAATTTTGTCTGGAATTACATGTTGATCCGTCAATTTATGTAATATTCTTGATTCTCCGTGCTTGCAATCAGCATTGTAAACGTCTACAATATCATTCCATGTCACTCTCTTTCCCTCGAACATCATATCTTTTGTCAGTAAATTGTTTCGAATCCCTTTCAGTAAATGAGGTGGATCGAAAATCACACTTAATGAATTTCCATTTAAATGAATGGTGTCATCTGAAAAAAAAAAAAACAACAGTCAAGATTGAGCAAGTCGAACTCACGTCCAAAATCAATTTTCTGCACTTAGAAGTATTTAGTACAACTTCATCCTATTACTTAATAGATTGCCAGGTCTTTAACTTACCAACTGTCTCTCCAGCACGAAGTTGTTCTCTTTTAGTATCATCTAATAAACTGTTTACAGCAGATTGGAAACTTGATCCTTGATCAGATACAAGGGCAATTGGTTTAAGCCCTATGTCTGTCAGTGCAGATATGATATTTTTAATTATTTTTTTTAATTGCAGGCTTGATGTTGCACCTTCACAAAAGTAAAAGGCGACTGGTTGCTGCCATTTAAAAACAGCACCTCGTAGCATGAATACGAGGGCATGATCTGCAAATTCATTGATTTTACCATTTAAATCGACAAAACCTACAATGTTGTCTTTGTGAGCAGCATAAGTTAGTGCAGTTTCAATGGCCATCTCATCAAATATGACACTACATATTTTTTTTCTGTCATCCCACTTTGCAATCTGAAACATACACTATTTTTACTAGTTATCATAATTATCTTCGTACTTATAAAGTAAATAATAATATATAAAGGACAAAGTCCAAAATATATAAATCAAAAATTTAAGAATAAAAGTTTATCAATACGATCAATCTGTATGACAAAGGAGACAATAATTTTTGGGACCACGAGCAATTTTAAGCAATCACATCACACACACAAAAAAAAGATAACAATTTATTATTAAATATAGTCTAAAGATTTTTTGAAAACTTAAACGGAATCAAGAAATGTGAAAAAAAATGAGTTGTTTTGATATTCGTGTTCAGATCATTGATTCTGGTAATGTAATATTTAAAAAAAAATTGTCTTAGAGATGTGCCAACTCAGAAAAAAATCAACTCGAGTTGAAATTCACGTAACTCGATTTTGAACTCGTGTTAACGCAATTCAAATTAGCGGAACAAAGCTGTGTCAATTTGTCACAAATTATTTTTATAATTGTTCTTCCATCCAACACAATTATTATTACTAAACTTAATAGGCAGTTATATATTTTTGGTTTGCGTATCGACAATCTTCATAAAATAATATCACTCTAACGTTATGACGTAAGTCTTAACGTTATTAATAATTTGACTATCACAAATGATATTATATATAACATAAATTGATATTAGATAATAAACATAATTTATATAACATTCAGTTTGTTTTAAGTTATTGTTAGATTCATATTGACGGCTCCGTGGCTTAGCAATGAGATGCTTCGATGGGGGGCGCGGGTTCGAATCCCGCACGGAACTAGTATTTGTATGGCCTACAAATAATTGTTCCGGGTCTGGATGTTTGTCCTTGTGCAATTTGTGTTTGTAAACTGCCTCTACGATACAGGAGAAAATCTTAGTGTGGGGGTAACGTTTAAAAAAAATTAATTGTTAATTTCTCAGGACTCCGCTTAGATGCAGTAAAACTAATAATACTATTATAATCTATAGATTATAAGGAATAAATCGACATGCATTTCATTAAGAATCCTTAACATTTGTGGTGGGCCCATTCTCCATATAAAAATAAATTGTCACCTTTCATCAAAATCCGTTCAGTAGTTTTTGCGTTTTAAAAGAGTAACAAAGATAGGTACTTACAAACTTTAGCATTTATAATATTAGTAGGAAGTAGGATAATTCAAAAGTTTTTACCTGTTTGCTCATATGTTTAAAAATTTCTGGATTTATTCCAGTGTCAATATTTAATTGGCTTATCATTTTCTTCAATGTAGTCTTAGAAGGCAAAATAAATATTTTTTGCAGAAACTTGTATGATTTAGGACCTTGCTTATAAATGGAAAGAGCTATGAGCTTCTCCTCTCTTGTAAATCTGCGGGCCTTTTTATTTTTTGTACAGAGTTTAACTTGCATCCACAAAACTTTTTTAGTCAAGGGATTCATGTTTTTAGTTAGCTCTTCTAAAGATTTTTCTTTACTGAAGGCCAATGCTTTTTTGGTTCTAGATCTATAATCAATTTGACGTTTCGCCTTTTTATATTTTTTATAAAATAGTTGGCATCTTGGAGTTAGTGAGTTGAAATTTCTTAATAATCTCCGTTTCAACAACTTTCTTGGTGTTTTACATGATGAACCTGGAATATATTATATAGATTTGTAATTTTTGTATGGTGTGTAATAAAGAATATTAAATTTTAAAAAAAGGATTGTATTGGTCATAATCTTACATATTAAACGAAATAATCTCAGGTACTTTAAATTTTATGGGTACAGTTTTGATTTATAATATTACCTTGTGGTGTATCTTGGCTTGCAGTGCTGGAAGATGCAACCGCATGAGTGCTAGAAGATGCAACAGTGTGTTTCATAGTGGTCGAAGTAGCTGAGAAAGAAATGGGGAATTATTAATGGTGCGTATAAATAATTAATGAGTGACTGTTAATGAGACTTTAGTGCCTATTCATTTGTTGTTGTTGTGTACAAAAGAATAGTTGCTTTAAAACAACAAAATAAAATAAAAAATAAAAAACAACAGCATATTATGTAAGCTGCAAAATTGGTACTCAAATATAAATTTGTACTCATATCTCAAATATGTAATTTTAATTGCCATTTTCAATATTTATGTTTGCCCTCAGTCTTTCGCCCATTTAGTATTCCCGTACGACAACATAATCAGTATTTATTACACCATCATACCCTGAATATGAATTTATATTCAATCATTTAAATAGTACCCGAAAGAAATACACAATAAAATTGTACTTATTATAATCAGGCACTTTCAATATTATAGATACAGTTTTGATTATTATTACCTTGTTGTGTATCTTGGCTTGTAGTGCCAGAAGAGGCAATAGCATGAGTACTAAAAGCTGCAATAGAATGTTCCATAGTGGTCAGGGTAACTGAAAAAAAAATAAACCAAGAAGTTTAATCAATCATTATACTTTATGGCAGCACATCTACTATCAGCACACTACTTTATTAGATGGGCTTTCTACAAGTTGTGAATATGAATGACCAATATGGCGCTTCTTTGCATATAAAAGAAAAACAATAATGTGACATTAAACTATGGTAAATAACAGTTAGGAATAAACAACAAGGCGGCCTTATTGCTAACAAGCAATCTTTGCAAGACAGTCTTAGGGTAGTAAGAAAAATGTAAATTGAAAAAGGTAGAACATGCCAAAAAAAACAAATTGGTTAAACAATTAAAACAAATACAATAATTTTATAATACACAAAATAGCATACAATTACATACATTTATATAGCATAATTATATATAATTATAAACATAATTATATTAAAATGTATATTGATACTTACAACTACTTAGGTGTGTACATAACAAGTTTTATACAGTGTGTAGTTTATGTAGTATTCCTTAACTAGTTTATATAGTGCAGTTTTAATTTCTTACCTTGTGCATCTTGGATTTCACTGCTGGAAGATGCGACAGCGTTTTCTACTGGAGTCAGAGTAGAAGTAACTGAAAAATAAATTAAAAAACCAATTTACCTATTGTTACAAAACAGGAGAACAGAAGCAGCCTAGGCATTCAGCTATTGGACTAACTCAACGACCGGGCGGCTACAGATATTCAATACTACATAACATACCACTGACTGTGAGGCGCGGCAGTTTATTAGATGCGCTTTCTGCAAGTTGTGAATATGAATGATCAATATGGCGCTTCTTTGCATATTTATGATCAATAGTCATCGTCTTGGAATCTAAAAAAAAAGAGAATAAACAATTAAAAAGGTTGGTTAGCTGTAGGTATATTTATTCCGGTTTTGAAGACCAACCTGTTTCTTTGAAATCTATTGACGGGTTTCCTAAAGAAATTTCCAAGTCAGTAAATAAACTTGGATAGGCGAAACACTTGAGACGATTTGTCTTCGGGTTAATAAACTTTTGCTCAAAATGTTTATGGCAAACATACATGTTCTTAGTGATTTCACTACTTTTGCCAACGAGGTTGCTATAACCTATGCACTGTAACCACCTGTTTCTAATGTCTTTATTTGCCGGTAATTGATGCAATCGAACGTCCTGTCGTAAACTATTGCACTCTGAAACACAACACTTTCGAAACATTTTCCGAAATTTCACCCTAATATTGCTTTATTTGTGGATTTAAAGATGATCGAATCAAGCACTTTTATCAACAAGAAATAAGCAATGGCGGGTGAGTGACATTGACATCTCAAAATGGCGAGACTTGAGTTTGCGGTGGTGAAGAAGGCTAAAGAGAGGCGCGGAACGTCAGATTCAATTCTTGCACTGTCATTCTATACGAACCATTTTTTTTGTTAGGACATTACCTGGCGTGGTGGCATTGACGTTTGTCACGTTGCTGCTTTTTTGTATTTATTTGCAATTTTAAAATTGAATCTGCAAAAATTCGCAATGTTCGAAAACAATTACTATCCGAGACAGCTATAGATGAGCACCAACTGTTTTTGTGTGTGGATTTCTCACGAGGTTAGTATTTTATCTTACGGAATGCGCAAAGCTTAAGGCAGAACTGTGCAAAACCTACAGTCGATTTAAAAGTTCTAAATTTTTATGAGGAATATAATCTCTTATTTGTCACATTCGAAGGTCCAGTCTAAAAAAAATACATTGTGGAAACGAAAATTAAACATGTTCGTTTTTGATGTAAGGTACGTCGGGGTAATACCGGACGGATTTTCGAATAGTTGGAAGAGTCTGCCAAAAACTTTAATTTCTCGACATTCGTATACGTCAGATTTATGGAACCTGGAGCAAACCGTTAATCGTTAAACGTAGTTTAGCTCTGAGAATCTTTTGCTCGTGTAAACTCAACGGTTTCTGCTTTAAAGGTGTGCGAAAACTAGACATACTTTTTTATATGCATAATGAAAAATTGGCCATTAAGGGGTAAGATCGGACTTAAATTTAAAACCACTTCTACTGCTTAGAGAAAAAAGTTTATAAAAGAGATTTGTCCTATATTTAACGCTCAAAAACATATTTCAATATGATCTATAAATTACTAGAAACATAAATGTTCCAAACGATTTTCTCTTTTTTTGTTTTTTGCCATCCGATCTTATCCCTGATATAAAGAAATTGTAATTTTATGTTTCTCAAACTTTGTTATGACATAAGATGGAATTACTCAATATAAGAGAAAGATCGGATGCATTTGATTTTATATGGGGAAAAAAATAACAGTAAGGACTGGCGAAATGCCCTGGGATAATGCAGGAGTTAAGGAAGATATAAATAGTTTAACAAAGCGGCATTTATTATTATAAATTATTTTTTAAATAATTATTATAAATTACATTTTGATTTGTAATAGAGGATAGATATAGATGTCTATGGGCCGCAGTAATCACTTAACATCAGGTGGACTGTGTGCTCCTTTGTCACCCTTATCCTATAAAAAAAAATGTATTTTAATGTGTACTTAAAAGTAATAAAACCATCGTATTGTTTTATTACTTTTAAATATACAGACTTGCTAACGAGACTGAGTCCCATAGTCACTTGAGTAATCAACGAAAAAATATACACGACCAATGAAAGTTTAACAACCACTGCCATATTTGTAACAGGCAAAGATCGGATAATATTCATCCGATCTTCACTCACGAGGGGAAACATCGGATCTCGGCCTACAGCGATCTTACCCCTGCATGGACCAGCTTTATTTAGCTATAACTTCATAAAAATTAGTATCCACACAAAATAATAACAAAAGAAGCCATATTCTCGCTAAAAATCGTAAATAAAAGTGATAGGGAAAGATCGGATGGACAAAAATAATACAAAAATTACATTGTTTTATAAAATGCCACGCAGCACAGGTCCCACTTGCCGGAGTGACTGGCGCGAACTGAGGGTCGGGGCAGGATGAAATGGCGTCGTGTAGCATATTGTTAGCTTTTCAAAATATAGCATAATTTGCCGGGAATTTGAATCCTACGGTCTTGCCCTATCACCGATCTTACCCCAACGTACCTTATTACATTTTATTTTTTTACCTTTTCTTATTATGAGATCTATACATGTTTTAAAATCTGTTTGTAAAAATACTAATAAATATAGTACCTTCATAATATTACAATTGAATTATGATAGTACATATTATTTATGACTATAATGCATATTACTAACAAATTCATACCTACAGTTATAATAAATCTAATATATGGTTATAAAACAATGAATAATTAAAAGAAATAAATATGTATGTAGTGAAATCTTTATAATATTTTAAAATTGTAGACATAGCATTGACTGTAGGAATAGACTGTGGTTGTATACTTTATTACTTTTTGATAGCAAACAAAGAATACAATATGGTAGCAAACCAGCAAAATTAAAAAGTGTAAACTTCTTTGTTTAACAATTGATAAAGTAGGACAGAATGAGATTGAAATAAAAGTGAATATTATATAAACTATATTTGTGGTAAAGTTTGAAAAAGTTTGTATTTGAAATTGTAGTAAGTTCAATTAAAGTTTATCTGCTAAAAAGTAGGTAAGTATGTCAATGAATCAAAATAAAAATCATGAGAGAAAAATAATACAAGAGTTTGTATTTCCTCCAAAATGTTTAATTACTTACAACAAATGACAAACACAGGTCTCATAACCTTATTAGTGTGTTTATAAAATTACCTACCTATTAAAGTTAAGCTAAATTAAATAAATAATAGAATCACAAAATATTTACAAAAGTACCTAGTTGTGTATGAAATTATCTGGAATCAATCAAATATCAATCGGAAAACAATGTCAAAAAAGAATATTTGTATTTTTTCCTAGTTCGGCATGTTATTATTTATAATAAGGATAAAATATATAATAAAGAAAAAAGTAAATAAAGTGTAATAATTAGTTTTTCAGTCCACTCTTATAATATAAAATTCAATTATAAATATTATATTAAATATATAATATTATATTATAATTCATATTCCTCTTTTGGATTTCTATATCTTTGTAATAAAAATATTTCGTATTTTCATTGATTGATATTTTTATTTAAAAACTAGGCTTCTGCATCACACGTGGTATAGCCATTCTGCAGCTATATTAGTAGTATAGTTGTAGCACGAATGGGTCGGCTCAACTGGGGAAGGACCACGCTCTCACAAAATACCAGCGTAAAATAGCAGCTTAACACTACTGTGTTTTGTATGGTGAGTGTAGAGAACTGGAGACCCTTTTTACTGGAAAAGAGGCATTTCATCTTTGGCCTCACAGGTGACAACACATCTACATTTTGATTCGCAAACGATGATAGATGTAAATGTCTATGGTCAACAGCAACCACTTACCATCAGGTGGACTGTGTGCTCGTTTGTCACCCTATCCTATAAAAAAATCACTCTTTCGCTGGGGGATTCACCTTCAGCTAATCTCTCTCTCCTACCCTTCATCCTATAAAATCAATTGTAGGTTATGTACATTCTTTCAGAATTTATATCTTTTAACTTTTTTATTTTTACTGATTTTTCATTAACTTTTTTCAGGTGGACAGTTTAAAATAAATCAGTATGCCTTGCAGGCTGAAAGCTTGCAGACCTCTCGGTAGGCACAACAGAATATGGAAAGACAACAGAAATATGAATATGCAATTTATAGATATTGAAAACAACAGTTTAATCTCATATCTGTTATTGTTGAAAATGTGCTTGTGATTCATAACAAAATCATAAAGACATGTTATTGTCTCTGTCATATGTCCAGTTTGAACATCTTATTTCCCCACTATTTATCAGTGTGTACTAACATAGATAAACATGTTATTACCTAGTCATTGGCTTTAATGGTGTTGGGGGTGTGGGTAATAATCTGTTAACATATTTTAAAACAAAGTACACATACTGTGCCTGTCTGTTTAACATAAATGGTGTTTAGGATGTATACTAACCAATCAATCAATACATTATGTAAACAAAGTATCCACACCACACCTGATTGTTTGTGCTACTTTGAAGAAACGAAAATAATAATGAACAATAGTAAATACAGTGATATTATGTATTGTGTTTTTTTTTATCATAACCATTTTAAAACATGTAACTTGCTGTTTATTTATTAATGTCTAAAATCAATAATGGGTATGTTATAACCAAATAATTTTGGATTTAATGTTATTTACTGTGTATACTTGCTGTAGAGGTAGTTAAAGAGCAAAAAATTTCTGGACCTTGACGTGTTGAGAGTTAAAGCACAACCTAAACCGCTTCGCGGTATGAGGTGTGCGATACTTGCAAAAAAAAAAGAAATTGTGTACTTTACAAAAAGATATGATATCCGAACAAAAACAGTTTCACTGTAAAGCATCGCGCCAAGTACACTTTCAACTATAGTTACAAAAATAATAATTACATTTTTACAAAAAATTATAAAATAAAAAGAAACCAAGTAACTACATACCCGTTTTAGATTCGAAAAAAAATTTTGCTGAAAAAAGTAATAATAAAAAAATGATGTACTTGGTGTGCATTATAGGTACTTTATAGTACGAGCATCACTCAAAAAAGTAATAAAAAAACGACTTCCAATGTAAAGTTGGGTGATCGATACTCTTAATCATGCACACCAAGTACACCATTTTTTTATTATTACTTTTTTCAGCAAAATTTTTTTTCGAATCTAAAACGGGTATGTACTTGGTTTCTTTTTATTTTATAATTTTTTGTAAAAATGTAATTATTATTTTTGTAACTATAGTTGAAAGTGTACTTGGCGCGATGCTTTACAGTGAAACTGTTTTTGTTCGGATTATCACTTTCTGGAATGTCACTGAGTCAACAGTCTGAATAAACCCGCTGATGACTTTAATTATTCCACAATGTGGTTTGTAAACGATCAAGATGATGTGGATAAATGATAAATAAACAACCGAAAAAAGATTTATAAGGTATTTAACCAAACAATGACAATCGTTTTGATAACGAATTCACGGCTTACCGCCAAATAATATAAACAGAAGCTAGCAGCGTCGCATAATATGTTATTTAAATTGGAGCTTCTTTTTCATGTAAGTTACCCCCACCCGTACAGTTTACATATTGTTTTGCGGTACTGTTTACTTAGATAATGGAAAATAAAAGATGCTATTAAGATGTTATATAAAACGGCGTCGATACTAAGTCTATCCCTTTTATTTAATTTTCTTCC